CTTCAAATCGAAATTGTGATTAACTGACAACATGATAAAGTCTTTAGAATTCGCACATTTTACAAACAATATGCATATCTATGGTCTCATTTACACATATTACATGTGGAGCCAATCAGAATTCAATTTCTTACGTTTGCAAATTAACATAACTGAATATACGTTCGTTTACGTGCTTCGGTGAATGTTAACTAATATTACACCTATGCCTATTAAAAGCCGCTTCACTTTCTGAACTTTCGTTACCACACGGCTTCGTTAGGGAGACGAGACAGTTCATATTGGCAACTGAGGTTTTTAATATACAACTGTCTAGTGTCTATTTGTTCGAACGTACACAAGCAACGCGTTTATGTCTCGTTTGATTATGGCAATCAGTTCGCTTGCATTTCGGATATTTCGCTCTCACGGTTTACAAACTTGGTCGGATAGTTCCGAGGTAGAATTAACTTCGATTCCTAAATGAACTGAACCGGCAATTCGGCTTATTTCGGCCAAGGTTTTACCACTGTCGTAACGTTTTTTTTGCTTGCCTTAAATAAATAATTTCTCCAACGATATATAAGAATACTAGAAAATACATGCATGCAGAAACCCTCGCCTTGCTGACAAAACCGTTGTATTTTCCGAACATGAAGTATCTAAAGTAGTTGTCATGGTAACACGATAATTTTCCCCGAGCCGGCGGCGCGAAGCGCCGTGCGAGGGTACTAATTCCCCCCGGCTATTTACACCCGGGGAAACGAAAGCATTAGCGAAGTATAAAGTTCATCAATGAGCGCGGGCGTCGGTCACCAACGATGGGTGGTCATCCTCACTGATCTCAAAAATATGGCGGACTGTCATGAATAACGGACACTGATTGGTCCAATTTAAAGTTTGCATTGTAACGACTGCATGACGACAGCGAAATAGCAAACATTTCTTGATTTGATGAGTTGATGATTGATAAATTTCTTGCAAATATTCTTCATTTTTGCTCGTATCTCTGCAAGATTTTGTAAATTTCAAGAAAGAAAGGGCGAAAGAATCAGCTAAAAGAAGGGAGCCGACGTTAACGAAGGTAAGTTTGTTTTAAATATTGATTTTATAATGGCTTTAAAACCCGACGGCCTTTGCGTATATGAAACAACTAAACAAGACAGCATATAATTTCAGTGTATCTTTAATATTGATTCCCTTTTTTATTATATTGAATTTTTAAATAAAAAATAAAGCAAAGTTATTTGCAAGCGAGAATTTGAAATAATTTTATTGCAAACTCAAATTTATCGATAAAGCCATTTAATAGTTAAAGGCAGTTTAGTTTTATAAAGAACACTTTAAAACGTTTTGGGAATTGTTTGTGGTTGAATTTTACCTTAAATTGAAGCTTGTATTACGTATAATTATATACCTAACATATATATGTTGGGAAATTGATAATTTTGTAATTAAAAGTGATATTTTTAGGCGATTTTCATTTGTAAGAATATTCTTAAAAAATTATCGTGTTACCATGACAACTACTTTAGATACTTCATGTTCGGAAAATACAACGGTTTTGTCAGCAAGGCGAGGGTTTCTGCATGCATGTATTTTCTAGTTTAAGAATATTCTTACAAATGAAAATCGCCTAAAAATATCACTTTTAATCATAGGCTGCCCAAAAGTGCGTGTTGTAATATTTACCCTCGCGCGTGGCGCTCGGGCGTGCATCGAGTCTACTCAGTTTATTATTATGACTGAGTAGACTCGATACTCGTCATAATAATAAACTGAGTAGACTCGATGCACGCCCGAGCGCCACGCGCGAGGGTAAATATTACAACACGCACTTTTGGGCAGCCTATGCTTTTAATTACAAAATTATCAATTTCCCAACATATATATGTTAGGTAATAGGTATGTAATTATACGTAATACAAGCTTCATTTAAGGTAAAATTCAACCACAAACAATTCACAAAACGTTTTAAAGTGTTCTTTATAAAACTAAACTGCCTTTAACTATTAAATGGCTTTATCGATAAACTTTGAGTTTGCAATAAAATGATTTCAAATTCTCGCTTGCAAATAACTTTGCTTTATTTATTTAAAAAATTCAATATAATAAAAAAGGGAATCAATATTAAAGATACACTGAAATTATATGCTGTCTTGTTTAGTTGTTTCATATATTCGCAAAAGCCGTCAGGTTTTAAAGCCATTATAAAATCAATATTTAAAACAAACTTACCTTCGTTAACATTGGCTCCCTTCTTTTAGCTGATTCTTTCGCCCTTTCTTTCTTGAAATTTACAAAATCTTGCAGAAATACGAGCAAAAATGAAGAATATTTGCAAGAAATTTATCAACCATCAACTCGTCAAATCAAGAAATGTTTGCTATTTCGCTGTCGTCATGCAACCGTTATAATGCAAACTTTAAATTGGACCAATCAGTGTCTGTTATTCATGACAGTCCGCCATATTTTTGAGATCAGTGAGGATGACCACCCATCGTTGGTGACCGACGCCCGCTCTCATTGATGGACTTTAGACTTCGCTAATGGTTTTGTTTCCCCGGGTGTAAATAGCCAGGGGGAATTAGTACCCTACGGCTCGGGGATAATAATCAGTGTTAAACGCTTCCATTATTTTGACTAGCTCATTGACATGTGGCTTGTTATTTCCCCAATTCACGTTCCTGTATTCAACATCCTTCGGCCACCACAATGGTTTCATCCCAGGATGATTCCACTTTGAGGTTTTTTGCCCTAGATGGAAGTAAACTTATACATGCTGTGGACCATAAAAATAAAAATACATTTTACTGTACCTAGGTAAATTACTACATTTACAGTACTATTTTAATTACCATCCAACTTAACAGCCAATGTCACCATTTTCCTCAGCACTGTAACAGTATACTCTGCATAGTTTATTTGGCTTCCTACAGGGAAATCCACATCTTTCTTCACTGCTTTTGTCTTGACTAAATTGATAAGATAAACAGTTGCAAATGTTTCAAAAATATATTGAGAGTGGAAAGTTGCATTTCCAAAGGTGAGCTTTTGTTTTAGTTTGTGCCTTTTCATATCAAGTCACTTTAGGTATGAGCCTGTCTGAATTGATTTAATAACTTAATATGCCATGACACCACCAATTAGACTGCCTTCAATTATGGAGACAAAACTTTACTGTTTTGATGGGAAACAACTGTACCAAATGATGACATAAAATACTAAAAATATTGGATACTGTTTAACATGATTGCACAACCAACTATCAGGGATATATTAACTGGAATATGAAAACTATTTGGTCGGTGAACACAGATATTTTCATTTAATAAGCTTTGAATGGTCATCAGTGCATTTTTGTTAATCTCCCACTGTCAGTTAAATCAATATATTATATTATTATTATTATCAATAACCCTCGGAGACTGAGTATAACATCTACAGTACTAATGCTATATCATTCTCTTTGGGCAGCACTTAATACACTATGGGTGAATAATACTGTTGGAGTATTGAAATACATTCCTGTAACATCAGAACTGAGCCAACTGATCCCTCCCCCCCAACCTACATTGACATTGTTGTGTAGTAGTCAGAGTGTATAAACATACACTTTATTAATATCAACAACAATATTCATTCTAGTATTTTTGTTATATCTAGTTTTGCAAAAAAACAGTAAAATCTTGTTGTTTGTTATATTGTTGTAGTCTCTTTGTTCTTTGTTTATGTCCATGATATGAAAGAAAAGGAAAGGTATTAGTCAAGAAGGATAGTTTAAAGATTTAAGTTGTAGGGAGAAAAGTTTGCATACAAAGTTACAATCATCAGGGCTAGAAGAAATTCTGCTGCACCAAATAGTTTCAGCTTTGATTATGCCAGGAGAGATATGCAATGGGTGGTTAAAGGAGTAATGAGGACACATGTATTTGTGGTTGGGTTTTTGATATACTTTGTAATGAATTTTATTGTATAGGAGAGTATGATAGTCTAGTGAAATGGTCAGATCGAGGTAATAGACAGAATGCTGATAAGGTGATTGGAATTTGTTTTGGATAGTAAGAGATGAGGTTACTGATTTTTGTAAGTGGGTTAGTATTATTAGTAGTAAGCATAAAACCGTCATCAATGTATCATGAAAAAATAGGATGTTTAGTTGTCCTGTTGTTAATAATTAAATTTGCTAATAAGAAGTACTAGGTTGGCGATTTGATATGGCTATGGTAACTACCCATAGCCACGCCTTGTCTGTTGATAGATGTCTTGTCCAGTAGTAAAATAATTTCTGTTATTAATAAAATCATTAAGATTAAGTAAAAAATCACAGTAAAAGTTGGAGATGTTGAGGAGTTGGCATCTAGAGATGATAGCATTGATTGTGTCCTGAAAAGAGATTTGAGTGTATAAAGATGTGAAGTCAAAAGTTCTTAGTTTTGAATTATTTATGTTAGTAATGGTGGTGTTGTTGTAATAAGTCAATTAGTTTGGATGAGTTGTAAATGAGTGGAAAGTGTATGTTTTTGGAATTGAATAGGTCTTTCAGTTGGTTGATGATGTTGTCGACTTCTTTGCCTAGTAATTTAGAAATGTTAGGAGTTGTCCATGGATGTGCAGTAATGATTGGTGTATCGGTTAAAAAGTCAAGGTTATGATGTGAAGCAGTTGATGTTAGTTTGTGGACTTTAGGTAAAAGTTTCATGTATGGTATTTGAATGTCGTCAATGTCAACAGGGTTTACTAGTTTACGTTTGTCTGGTGAAAACAAGAATACATATGTAATTTGCTCTGAACCAGTTTGCTTATCTCTTCTTTATCGCATGTCTTGTATTTTCTCAAGAAGGTGAGGGAAGTGTGTTTTTACTCTTTAAGGTTACAGAACACCTTTGAGTGTTAATTTTGCCTCAAATTTTTTATTGGTTTCCATGAAAGCATTAGACTAGTTCTACTATCTGACCAAGTTTGAATGAAAAATGTTGAAAACTCACAGAGTTATTTAATAAATTACATTTCGCTGCAATAAGAAAAACATTGAAAATGTAATATTCAAATTCAATTTTCTCCCGAAAAGGTTTACGTTAATTACTGATTTTCAAACGAGTTGTGCTCCTGCGGGTTTTAACCAATTTTTCTCAAATTTTCACAGGACATAGCTAAAGACGTCAGTTTCAAAATTGTGTTCGGCTTTTTTTAAATTTTGGATATTTTAAAAATAAAGAGCAATTCACTCAAACAATTCAGAAATATATTGCAGTCGTCAAAGAAATCGCCATATCAGCAGAATGACGCAATAAACAAAAATTTCCGAACACAATTTCTTAGAACAACTATTTTACTGTATAAAAATGATATTTTCATAAATATAACTTAAAACCAGCAGGAGCATAGCTCAAAAGCATAACGGTGCCGCGATTTAAGATTTTCCTGAATAATTCTTACATTATTTTATTGTTTGTTAATTTTACAACATTACCATATTTTGCATGCACTGGAGAACATTTGGTGAAAATTTTTATGAAAATTGGACTGATATTGAGCGCGCAGTAGCGATTTTCCACAAAACGCCAAAAAGGGTGTCCTGTAACCTTAAAGTGACTGATGCCGTATCCAAAATATATCAGCCAGAGATACTTATTTTATGTTAAAATAAATCTGTTTATGCTCACCATGATTTGATATCTTCAAGGCTGTCTAATCTTTGCTGTAGCGTCTTGGTTTTTTCTTTGCGTTTTGCATATTTTTTAGATATCACTGTACCATTCTTCGCCTACTAGTGGTTTATGGGCATAAATGCATCATAATCGCCTAAGATTTCACTATCAACTGCTTCTAGACCTCCAATTTTGTTACTGGTATCATTCGATCATTGTCTATAATATGCCCAGGAATATAATTGTATTCTGAGTCACATTGAGAACCAGGAGTGCTTTTCGAATCTGAGCTACTGCCTGACATGCTGGAAAATATACCAAATATAAACTAGAAGTTACTATTGCAAGGAAAGTGCTGCCTCACCCTGCCTTCCATCACATAAGCACGTAAAAAACCTTGCACAATTTTAAGTGAAAAGTCAGCTAAATATTCTAATTGTATGACTCCCACAAATTCCGTACTCTTCAAGAAATTACTTCCTTGAAAATCCCTTCGTTCTAGATAAATATGAAGGACCCATTCAAATAGATTGATAGGATTATTCAAATAGATGCATGTTTATTTAACAAATATAAAACATTTTCCGTGTTGATATACAGTTATATCAACACGAGTGGAATTGGGAAAACGAGAAATTGTATGGAAAGGGGCGGAGTGTTTTCATACAATTTCGAGTTTTCCCAACTTCCACGAGTGTTGATATAACTATATATCAATACGGAAAAAATGTTTTATATTTTTTTTATAATATAGCAATGTCAAAAGCCCAAAGGATAAGAAAAATTTCCGTGTTTACAAGCGGCGGAAAATTTCCCGTGTTGACATTGAGTTATATCAACACGGCTCTTAGCCAATCAGCGTTCAGAATTTACAAATGCTATATTATAATAGCATATCATAACCAGTTGTCATAGCTAGCTTGCCACTGAATACTGTACAATATCTTATATAACAAATGATAATAATACTTAAATGAATCATTGGATATGTAGAACATATATGTTATTTACCGGCTGCAAGGTCTGGATGAGAAAAACTATGCCCAAGCTCTTGAAAACGGCCTGAGCCCGAAGGGCGAGGGATGTTTTCAAGACCGAGGGCACAGTTTTTCTTATCCAGACCGACGCTGCCAGTAAATAACATGTTTATTTTTTATCAGATGTAAAAATTAAATTCATCCAGTGTCGCTTGCGAACTAATTTGAGATCAGTACAGTTTTATTTTCAAAGCGAGACTGATTGAAAAGTTGAAAGATATAAAACACGTATACAAAAACTCGAGAAAACTGGCAAGAAACACAAAAAGACGTGTAGTTTCAGTAAAAATGTACATGCTTTTTTCATAAATATGATAGCAGAGAAGCTTTGGAATAAAAACTTTTATGCCTGGCATTTTGGCTTTGACAAAATCAGTTGCTCCCGAGTCCTGACAACGACAGGTTCATGTTCAGTACTGATCAAAAACATATAAAAATTAATCTGTTTTGTGATTTAATCATCGTTTTTCTACTAAAAGGACAATGAAAAAGGTATGTTGTTTTTATATTTTTGTAATTTTTTTCTCGTCTCGGGATAATATGCTTAAAAAGGCGTTTTTAAACACAAACTTTTACTTTGTTTACAATATTTATATCAGTGAAAAATGCATGACACAAATGGTAGAGAATATATTCGTGACTTGTTTTTACTGCTGCAGTTAAACCTTCTTTTAAATGGGAAAACATTTATTTTACAATTTCTGTTTAAGCTCTAATTTTTTCGCTTTTAAGTGGCCGAATACATGAGCATTTAAAAAATATGTATTTTTCTTGACGTTTTCCGACTTTCAGTCACATTTATATCAAAATATTGTCAATTCTGGTTAACATCGTGCTTAGTATGAAGTCTTTAGGGCTTGATGCAATTCATTCTTGTATTCTGACTATCATTAGGCTATGTTTTTCAAACGTTTTTGGCAGATTTTTTCGTTTAAAAATTGTTTCACTCCTCTGTTTTTGGCGTGAAATCCAGAGCAGGCAGTTACATTTCACAGCGGGCCGGATGCAAAAAACCGGCCCGCTCTGAAAGGCTGCCAGCCAATGAGATTGCTTCATTTTCACTGATAAAAATAAATAGAAATACTACCAGTATTATATATACGTGTTCACAGACCTTAAAAACAATTGATTTCAAACAAAATTAATAAGACAGAACACGAATATATGAACATTGCCCCCCCCCCCCCCGAGTTTGCTACACCACTGGTTTTAATGGCACCTTCAAGGCTACTGCAGAACAACTGAACAATCTGCTAATGGGGAGACAAAATCTATTTTGTTCACATTTTTAATCTGTAAGCTTCATGACACAATTCATTGTATAAATGATTAAGATTGTAATTGTTTAATACGTCAGCTACAGATGATACCACTCATTGTACAGATGATCAAGACTACACAGTCAGAACTGCAAAACTATATAATAAGAAAAAATTGCGAGCATTATAGAAAAAAGTCAGATAATTTTTGTATACAATTGTGTGCTTCAATTCGCACATCATACTCCTCATTTGACCTTATGCATAATGATGTCACAAGGCTTGATGCCTGCGAGGCACCCTGGTCTTAGTAGTCATTGCCCGGGAAAATTAAACAATTCACAATGCCCACTATCAAAATTTTCCTGTACCGTGAATGTCTGTGATCACTACTAACACCAGCAGTTGTTAGTTTCTGAATGAGTGCACAATTGTTCCGCTTTCTCAATTGTTCCGCTTTCTCAATTGTTCCGCTTTCTCAATTGTTCCGCTTTCTAATCTCCTTTGTGTTCAAGTTCATATTTACAATCTCTTATTTCATTTTTCGTAAATATTTTGATCCCGTTGACAATGGACCACGAGCGTACACAAACAAGTACAGCAACACCATTGTGTGTAGCTTGGATGAATTTTCCGATTCTCTTCAAACGATTAATGGCGTAAGTAACTACATGCGTGTTTGTCCACATGGCATGTTGTCCAATGGTTTCCCAGTTGTTGGTAACTCCTAAGGTACACATTACCATCTCCACTTTTTACTAACATTGACGACAAAGAGAAATTTTGTTGGTTTTTGTTTTAACGGCTCTAATCGCAACAAAGCGATTGATGTCCCGTGTAAAATTTAGGTACATACAAAATGTATCCTCTTGCATACTATTCATTTGCTGAGTAATGCAAGACATATGGTCACCAGATAACCATGGGGTGCAACATGATCTGGGTAACTCTTCAGCAGAGGCATTGTACCTGGAAAGCATTTCATTGTATCGCTTCAAATAGATTAAGCTATGGAAATTCCTGATATCATTTTGGTTGTGAGACTTCTTGCTTGATCTCCATGGCTTTATGAACTTGAAGAAGTTCATTTATCTTCTGGACATCATACTTTAATTGTTTCAGTGTTCATTTGACCACTGTATGTAGGCTGTGCTATCTGGGTGAATTTTTTTTAATTCTGTGATTTCTTTTTTCCACAATTAAAGGCATGATTGTGGCGGTATCTGACATCCAACTTCTTCTCTTCCACAACAATCAGTGGGATTTGTGTTTTTGGGCCTGTCGGATTTGAGCTCCCTTAGGCCGCATAACATGTAGATACTGTATACAGAATGCCTGTAGCCTGGTGAGATTTGACAAGTCAATCTGACTTAATAAGACGCTATTCTGCTTTGCGCGAATTGGATCTTGAGAAAACATAAACATAAGAAAAATATAAACTGTATAGTTGGCTTTTGGTAGTATTCTATATGTGTACCTTACTTTTCTTAATTATATCTTTATGTGGACATTTTTGTTGTTAAATTTTGACATTAATGTGGACTTGTATGACTTTAATGTATTTACCTCTGCCATGATAATGCAAAATGTGTATATATATGTACTTCCCTTCCAGGCACCTTTCCACACAAAAAAAATATGAGAAGATAACTGCAAATAAAAGAATGGATAAAACAATATGCTATTGTATTTAAAAAGTTCATTAGCATATTTCCAACAATAGAGGTTACCAAAAATTATGTGATGCAACATAAAAACAAGGTTTATTCATTATTGTTGCTATATTGTCTGATCAGCCTCAGAAGGTAACATATTTAAAACTTGTATTGTGATGTCATTGACCGTGCTGCATATGGTTTGCATGGTATGTATGTAGAAATGCATGGGTGTGGGAAAGTTCATGATCTAAGGTTGAACCTGTCTCAGTTTTTTTGTGTGCATTAGTTTAAATGTTTCTTGAATATGCATTCGAATTTACCGATATGTATGTGGGAATGTATGTAAGAATTTGGAGCAATTATTTTAATAATTTATGATAAATTAGTCTTTCCATTAGTTACTTGAAGACACAGGGGTAGATTAATCCAAAACAGCTGTGATTGCCCTAACATGTCTGAACGATCATAGATGGATGATTTTGTAATTTCCCACCGTTTCACACACAAAGTATACTTGTAAACGCCTCTGTTATGCTCGGAGCAGTACGAACAATGTTACGCAATGATTTGTGCGGCAACTGTCAAATTTTCATCGGTCTACACCGGCAATCTATTAAAAAGTCTTTTATACCATACAAACTTTATTAATTATACTTAGGCTATTTATTCATATTTTAGGCATAATTTCTGGAAATAATATTTTCATACTGTAAATTGCTGTATGGGCATTATTAAGATAAATATTTATTTATTTCCACACATATTATTTTAAAACAAATACTAATGTTCATTGATTTTGCAATGTTAACATTTCCGAGTAGAACACAATATTGAACCGATTACCAATACGGAAAACCTCCGAATATGAACCAACCTATTTCCAAAGTCAGTATTAGCCAATCAGAAGCCGGACTAGATTCCTGTCTTTAGCTGCAAGTTAGAATTACACCAACAAGTCTTTCTGAACACCAATACGGTGCAAATTATTCACTTCCATTTGGACGCCAAATTAGTATAAATCTACACTTAACACTTGTTTTTTTAGCATGTTTGGGATACTAAAGCCTTGTAGGTGCTTGAATAAATTGAAAAGCGCTGTCCACAATTGATGTCATGAAAATTTGACCCCAAGACTCAGGCAAACATTGGGAACACTTAATACTAGAAAATACATGCATGCAGAAACCCTCGCCTTGCTGACAAAACCATTATGTTTTCCAAACATGAAGTATTGTCATGGTAACACGATAATTTTAAGAATAGTTTTAAAATTGAAAAATCCCCCAAAAGGGCATGTACTAAAAGGCGAAACATCGAAACGAATTAAACGGTCGAAACGACCGAAATGAAACGACCGAAACGAAACAACCGAAACGAAATGGCCGAAAATATAAATTACAGGAAAAATGGAAAATATTAAAATATGAAATTTACGGGAAATTTTATTGAAATTTTTTAAGGCAATTGGGCTGTGGAGGCACTGGTTTATAGATTTTGGTGCCAAAACACTGTAAAAACTGGTAGGTTAAAATAACAAAAAAAATAGGTTATTTGGTTTGGTCTAGGACAACCTGATAAATATAGGTTATTTCAATAGGTTAAAAGAACCGAAAATAAATAGGTTAAAACAAACCATTAAAAATAGGTTGGTTTATACCCATAAGAAATAGGTTGTTTTAATAGGTTAACACCTTCGGTAGCATACATGTACAACTTACCCGTGTGGATGGTTAGGTGCATTGGGTGGGAGGCCTGCCGTTTGTATACCAGATACTTACCATTAGTTGGATTCAGGTCAAGCTTCCAAGTATTGACCTGACCACCCGTTTGCACCTATCACACCGAGTTACTCGGTGGAACGCAAACAAACGATGAAGAATTAAGAGTCAGAGTAACAAGAAAAAAATTTTTTTTCTAGCTTGCGCTTACAACTGCTTGTCAAGCTGCGCTTCTCACAATGATGCAGGCAACGCCTGTTGTGTTTCCTGCCTTTAACGTCTAGGTTCGGCCCATGCTCCGCGCGCTATGTTACCTTGTTGTTAACCTTTCTTATTGCATGACCTCATTTAACACCTTCGGTAGCATACATGTACAACTTACCTGTGTGGATGGTTAGGTGCATTGGGTGGGAGGCCTGCTGTTTGTATACCAGATACTTACCATTACTTGGATTCAGGTCAAGCTTCCAAGCATTGACCTGACCACCCAAAGTGATATCCCCATCACCAGGATATCACCCATCCAAGTAATACCTTCCTTGTCCACCTCCCTCTCACCTCACCAACCACGGCCTGCTAGCGCTGGCTCGACTCATACAATGCTCGCCTAGTTACCCGAGGTCACACCCAGGTACGCTGTGCTGAACAAGTTGCCCAGTTATCCGAGGTCACATCCAGGTATGCTGTGCTGAACATGTTGCCTAGTTACCCGAAGTCACACCCAGGTACACTGTGTTGGACATGTTCCCTAGTTACCCGAGGTCATACCCAGGTATGCTGTGCTGAACAAGTTGCTTAGTTACCCGAGGTCGTACCCAGGTACGCTGTGTTGGACATGTGGCGTAGTTACCCGAGGTCATACCCAGGTACGCTGTGCTGAACAAGTTGCTTAGTTACCTGAGGTCACACCCAGGTATGCTGTGCTGAACAAGTTGCCTAGTTACCCGAGGTCACACCCAGTATGCTGTGTTGGACATGTGGCCTAGTTACCCGAGGTCATACCCAGGTATGCTGTGCTGAACAAGTTGCTTAGTTACCCGAGGTCACACCCAGGTATGCTGTGCTGAACAAGTTGCCTAGTTACCCGAGGTCACACCCAGGTATGCTGTGTTGAACAAGTTGCTTAGTTACCCGAAGTCACACCCAGGTATGCTGTGTTGACTACGTTGCTTAGTTACCCGAGGTCACACCCAGGTATGCTGTGTTGACTATGTTGCCTCGTTACCCGAGGTCACACCCAGGTATGTTGTGCTGAACATGTTGCCTAGTTACCCGAGGTCACACCCAAGTATGCTCTGTTGGAAATGGTTACATTGTTATGATCAGAAGGTACCCACAAACATATACTCAGACAGACCACTTTCTTTTTTCTTTCTTTTTTTTTCTCTTTGCAAACCTTTTACTTTAACAAATACCGTTTGAATTCGACTTGATGAATAACAATAACCATAATAAAGCCCAATTATACGTGCAACCTTAAGCTTATCGTGCGCGTCCCTTAGCAAGAGGTTCGAGTTGAGATGTCAAACGTACCAACAATTCTGCTGGTACCATCACAGGCTTTGGTGCAGCCTGAGGTGCCAGTTTGAAAAACTCCGTCATTTGAAATTGTGATAACGCATCTGCCAATCGATTAGATTTCCCCGGGACGTGTTTTCCTGTGACCTGGAAATTGTAATGCGTGCTCACTAGATAGAGTGCCCTCAAGAGATGCATTAACTGTTCGTCCTTCGATGTGCCCGAGACCACGGCTGTGTTGTCACATTGAAATTCTACATGTTTGCGTGCCCAGCTGGTGCCCCAAACATGGCAGGCGAGGACAATAGGGAACAGCTCTTTGTAAGCGATGCATAAAGGTTGCTGTAATGGAAGCCAAGAGCTGTTAAACCATTCTCCATCGTAGTAGACGCCAAACCCAAGGCTACCAGATGCATCTGACGACAACAACAAATCAGCTGGGGGTGCCCACTCCGGTAAGTCGAAAAAATAAACCCCCTCCCATGACGGTAGAAATTCTTGCCACCATGCAATATCAAGTTGACACTGCTTGTTGAGTCGTAAAAACGGTCTGTAATGCGTGGACCCACGCAATAAATCAATGACACGTCGTGTAAAAGTAAAACCACACTGAATCACTGTGCATGCATGATTTAATTTGCCCAACAGGGATTGAAGTTCCTTAGGCTTGCATGACTTTTTGTTTTGCCAATCGTGTAGCAAGGCTATCAAGTCCGCCAGTTTATCTGCAG